GGAAGGCACTAGGTTGAAAGTTAAAATTTGGAAATCTATTACCTCTGGAATTGGTTGGAAATAGATGGAATGGCAGAAGAAGTGAAATATTCAGTAGCCAGTTCTAGGATATACCTAGGATATGGTTTTTTAATTTTCTGTCTCCAATATAGAGATCTTCCATCAATGCATTTCCCAATAACCACTATGACAGGTTAGGAAGTATGGGAACATCTACACAACACAGACACAAATAAAAACCTTCCTACTGGCATTCAAACGTAGATTTGGCTGGGGTTCAGTTTATTCTAGTGTAACCTTCCTGCCTCTGCAGTGGTGTGTTAGGGAATTACTAATTAAAGTAATTAAAAATATTAACAGAAATACAAATAATATCAGAAAAAGGCTGAAGTGGGCTTCATTACTTTCAGCAGATCTTCAGACTGCTAGCGTTTATACAAGAAAGAATATAAAAAATGCTGTGTTTGTAGTTTGTGTTTTGCAAGCAAAAAAAAGGTGCATTTATTATTTTTTGCTGTGAGAATCTGTAAACCATTGCACAAGTGATCAGCAGATCGCTGGTGCCATGCAGGTCTCCTCCAAATCTGTCACTAATCTGCTTGCCCATACGGGAAAGCAGGTATACCGACAGGAAGAATCCATGAACTACAATGGCACTCCACAGCGCCGTGGTAGTTCATTGAGAACTACAAGCTGCCAGCCGCTAAGGCTGTTGGGACGTGTAGTTTTCTCATTCACAGAGGACTGTGAATGAGTGACGCAGCCAGGCGGGTCATGTTATAAATGATGAACTTATCCTTTAATACCCACAAAGCCAAATGTGCTGAGTATACAATAAGAGATATGTATTTTGGATCTCACGAAAGTGGTAAAACTTTGTTTGTGGCCTAGAACAAAAGCACAAAAACATTTCAGGTTTTCTCAAAACAGCTAATTTGTAAAGTACAGTAAGTCCCTGTTTACACTAGTTAGATTCTCCTCTGTCACCCTCCTATAACAAAAAAAAAAAAAACACACACAAAGCATGAAAATGCATCAAAAGTATACATAAATGTGCAAAAACACACTGAAAAACGCATCATGCCGCAGAGCTAGTGTGAACTAGGTTTACCTAGAGCAGCCATTACAGTGTATTTTTTCCTGACCAAACTTTAAAGTTTGGTTTATACATATTGCTGCACTTGTCCAACTAGAATATCCCAGCTGGATAGGTTTCCAACCAATCCAACTGGTTATATTCATTAACATTACAGAGAAAAACAGCTGACCGCCACACTTAAAAACCTTCCTTTAAAAATATTCATCATTATCCCCAAATTAAATAAATCCACTTTGGGTGCACCAAAAGCCTTTACAACCCCAGATATTACCACGTACTAGTGGCAGTGACATTAAAACTGTGTTGCACATGAACAAAACAAAACACTGCTGTGCAGTAATGAGGGCTATTGGAGGGACCAATCAGGTCCACTCACTACAGGCTGCCTGTAGAAAACTACAGGAGAGGGATAGAAGACCAGTCACCCTGCACATGGAGAGAGAGCAGTAGTGACTGGTCTTAATTACAGGAAGCTCTTGCACAGAAGCAATGTTTCACACTAAGTTAATGTAAAGTTCTGAAAAAACTACACAAAGGACAGCTAGATTCAATTAGGATATGCCTCTTGTATTTAGACAATATTTTTCTTATCCCAGAACTCCACTTTAACTGCTTTCCCGCCAACCTATAGCAGAAATACTGTTACAGAGTGGCAGGGCTGTGCAAAATCACGTATATACTGTATACAAGTGATTTTCGTATTTCCGGGTAGGGGGCATACATGCTGCCCTACCTGCGCTGCCATTGGCGGCTACAGATGTTGATCACCGGGTCCCGGCCGGAGATTCCCCGCCAGCACCCGACGATCGACGAGGAACAGTGACAGGGGAGAAACCTATGTGTAAACCCGTGTGTCTCTCTCCTGCCAGTAGTAACATGCTGCTGTGCACTTCTCTGCACAGCAGAGAAGTACACAGTAGCATGTCTTCCTAGTGATACAGCACACGGTTAACCCTTTGATTTCCCCAGATGTTAACCCATTCCTGCCCAGTGTCAGTACAGTTTCAGTGCTTTTTATTAGCACTGATCACTGCATTAGTGTCATTGGGATGTGTGTGGCAGTTCCCCCCCAATTTCAGAATGCCAGCCGCAGTCCTGCTATAAGTCACTGATTGCCGCCATTACGAATATAAAAAAAAATTCCTGCATATATACCACCATTTGTAGATGCTATAACTTTCACATGAATCAACTAATTTACATGTATTGGGATTTTTTTTAAGCAAAGAAATGTAGCAGAATACATTTTGGCCTAAATTTATGATGAAATTTGATTTTTTTTTTTTTTTTTTTTTTTTTTACTGGATATATTTGTTTTTTTTTATTTGATATTTTATTCATTTTAATTAACATATGTTCTTTCTCATTATGCAACAATATTTTTTCCATATCAAAAATGTTTATACTAAACAAAGAAAAAAAACCCTACACACCATTTGGTTGCATCGTTGCTTGACCGTGTAATTGTCAGTTAAATTAACGCAGCTCCGTATCACAAAAAATGGCCTGGTCAGGAAGGGTAAATCCTCTGGAGGGCAAGTGATGAAACATTTTGCTGCCACGGAGGGAAGTTGCTGTCTGTTTACATATGCTTAGCTGACTGCTTTCTAGTGGAAGTGATTTGGGTGGCTATAAAGATGCCCAGTCCCTTCTGCACATGTTTGCTGATCACCTCCGGATTAAAGCAAGCTGTAAGTGATGAGCTTCTTTTCAGTTTCATACTGTATATGTCATTCACCGGCTGCTGTGGCATGATCTGTGCTTGATCAGTTTCACTGGGGTTAAAAAAATGACATTAGGAGTCTCCTTAAAGAGTACTTGTAATGTCCATTGTGCTATTACATGGGGAGCTTGTCAGCCTCTAATGTGATAAAAATAAAGTTGTGTTTTAAAAAAAAAAAAAAAAAATTTTTAAAGCAAAATAAAAAGGAATTTCTTTTAAAGCCCTCCATGCTCATGTAAATGCAAGCATCAGGGGCACCTATGTAAGAAAACGACAACTGCATCACATATATTTCGGTAATGCCAGGAACATCACAATGAGAGCAATAATTCTGCAGCCATCGTTAATGGTTAATTCTAAAATGAAGACCTGTAAGGGCTTTTAAATTGACGCCTATGGGCAGGTTCAGGCATTGAAGTTTGTCAACATTTAACAGGCATGTGCAATAGTAAGGCTTTACCTGTTTGGCAGCCATTTTCTCAACGCAACTTTATCTTTTATATTTTACCACGAAAATGGGCCATAAATTCTGTTTGTGTACTTATAGGGTTGATAAACTGTTGTGCCAGTATAGTGTCACATACAAAATTGCAACTACCACAATTTTATTCTCCAGGGTCTTTCTTTTGGAGGTTTTAACTAATCTTCAGGCTTAATAAAATGCAAAACAGCTCTGGCAGTGAAACACCTAGTCACTAAAGTAGAACTGCAGTGTGGCCACAGGTTGACGACTCTTGCATAGCATGCTTGCATGTGGAAGGCTTACCTATGGGTTTGTCTCCCTAAGGCTACGTTCACACTAGCGGTGTGTGCAGGCGGCAGAGAGGCATTTGGAAAGCGTTTTTACCGCTTCCCAAACGCCTTGGACAATTGCAGCACATGGTGCTGTTCTAACGGGAGCGTTAGCATCGCAGCAAAACGGGCACCTCTGGTCGAGTCAGGAGGCGTTGAAGCCTCCTATTCTAGTCTATGGTGCCGCTCTGCAAATGCCCGGCCAGCGTTTTCGGGGGTGTTTGTGGAGCAGTAACACCATTTAAACTTCATTATAGGCATTTTGTGGGGTGTTTTTAGCGCTCGGCAAACGCCTAGCAACCACTAAACCGCGCATGCGACGTTTGCGAAGCGTTAAAAAAACGCTCCGCAAACGCCGGACCAACGCTTGCCAAACGCTATAGGGGCGTTTGGCAAGCGTTGGTAAAACAGTCAAGTGTGAACGAGCCCTAAATGTCTGACAGTCCTGCTATCCCTGCCGTTGCCTCATTGGCCACCACTGCAATCATATTCACAACTTCTTCTGATTCGGTGTCTCCTCTCTTCATCCATTGTGTGACCACTGTTCATGTAACTCCTGTGCATGCAAGCTGGAGTTGCATTATCACAGCACCCAACTCCATGATCGGCATCTTACAGATTCTGGGAGTGGGCCAGGAGTGTTTACTGTAAATTCTTGGATGTATATGGAAGGGCCTGGGTAGGTGACCAGTTTTTTTTTCTTTGTATATGGAAGGGCGCCAGGTACACAACTTCATCTCACTCTAAGGACTTTCTGAAACATTTAACGATTAAGAGCATCAAATACAGTCAACGTGTTCGGGGGGGGGGGGGGGGGGGGGGGGGTGGAAGTCTTTACCTTCTTCAGGGCTTAACTATTTTGATGTTAAAAAATCACAACAGAATGTATTATAGAATCTGTGTTACGGCTTGATGAAAACTAGTATCTCCTGATGGCACTAAAGGCAGCTGGCACTGAAAACAACTTGCCTGCATTTGATGCTGTTCACCGTTAATTATTTCAAGAATTTCTTTAAGTTATACCAGGCTCCATACACATCTAAGAGTTCACCCACCATCTGGCAAGTTCTCCCTTTGCCATTTCTCTACCAAAATATCTGTATTCACACAGAGAGACACAGTGTGCAATGAGAAATAAAAAGTTGGTAATGGGTAAAAGATTAGTTTCAGGGAGTCTATAGGCAATACAGGTGGCTAATCCTTTGTCCTCTGCTTTGGGCAAAGAACCGCGTCCACAGTTCAGGTTTCGTTAATTTTTTTTTTTTTCTCACTTTAAAATGATGTAATTCTTTATATATCTAAATCATCTGCAAGCACTATAGATTCTCTATAAAATTTTGCAGGTTTTACACAAACATTTTTTTCACAAACATTTTCTGCTTCCAGTACTTGCACAGACTTTTCAAGAGGGACCATCACAAAGGACAGATGTACCATGAGAAACAAATCAGCTTGTATGCAGAATTTGACAGACCAAATCTTTTGCCTTTCCTTCGAGACAGCACTCACTGCCCACTAGAAAAGGTAAGCAAGACTGTTCTGTAGATAACATAAACTCATCTGCTGAAATTCTTCAGGGGATGTCAAAGCTTTGTAAGTACTGTAATGTCATGGGCTATGTAAGTAATTTTTTCAGACATGAATTGTTTTGCTTGTGTAACTCACGAAGAAACAGGCTTTAAAAATAGATTCTGCATTAATATTTCTACTTCATGTTAACATGCAATTTTTTTTTTGTTAATCTTTACATATTTTACAAATTATACATAGCCTTTACAAAATACTTGTGATATTTTTGTATATGTTATTTTAAAGTTAAAAGGTGAAGTTTAATATATATCCTGCTTTAAATGAAAACCGTACCAGTGATCCCACTAGCAAAGTGTGTGCACTTCTTTTCCTAGAATGATAACATTTAGGCCTCTTTCACATGGGTGGAAGTGATAACTATCCCTCTAGAAAGCAGGCATTCAGATGTCAATACTGCCATTTTAAGTGAGAGGTCAGAGGAGAAATGGGAAAAAAAACTCATATAAATCACCTGTTCTTACTGCACATGTGAATTAGGCCTTCCTCAATTCAGCTGCTCCTGAATTGGACAGTAATCAGCCAATGCACAGATCACTGCAGTAAAACTGTGTGTCTTAGCTGTTGTTAGAGCACACATACAATGGGTATAGAAAAGAATAACCCCCCTGTAAAATGATCACATTTTGTTACTTTGCAGCCTGATATGAAGACACACAGTTTTTGTTTTATCCAACTGTATTTTGGAAATTATAATTTGCAAATTATAGCATCCAAGTGAAATATACAACACCAACATGTCAGAACAAAAATTTAAAAAATTCAATACCAGAATCACTGAGTTGGAAAATGGATCACCCCCTCCTAAAAATTACTTGTAAACTCAATCAGGTGTAGCTAATCACCTTCTCAATGGCACACAAAGCTATTTCAACTGTTATCAGCTTTGGTCATTTTGATTAACTCAGCATGAAAAGGACTTTCCTGGAGAATTTCAGTCTATGGTAGTACACTCCTTTAGAAAGGCCACTTTCAGTCACGACTGCCAGTCCTAACTAAACTTGAGAGTGGGAAGATATGCAAAGTCTAGATGTGCAAAGTTAGTAGAGACATATCCCAACAGACTAAAGGCTGTATTTAAAGCAAAAGGTGGTTCAACAAATACTGAAACAAGAGGGTGACTCCCCCTTTTTTCTAACATGTTGGTGTTATATCTTTCACTTGGATGTTCTTAGTATGAGATGTACGGTCAAGCAGATTATTCTAACAGAAAGCTTCAATGAACTACCACGGTGCTCCACAGTGCCATGGTTGTTCATTGAAAACTACAAGCCCACAGCTGCTAAGGCTGTTGAGACTTGCAGTTCAGTCATTCACAGAAGTCCGTGAATGAATGATGCGGATGTGTGTGCGGAGCCCTGTGGCTCATGTAACATGTTCCCAAAGGTGAACTTACCCTTTAAGAGAGAGAAAATATGTACATAGAGTAAAAACTTTATCCTTAAACAAAATTATAAAACAATCATGTCGAATGTGCAGTGCTTTACAAAAGTAGATAGTTTAGCTCTACTTTAAAGTATATCCCAACCCAAAATAAAAAATGTATAATATTGAGGTTACTAGTTTTTGTTGTGGCTCCTGCTGCTGTCAATCACAGCCAGTGAGGAGAGAGTGGGGGGGTGGGGCCGAGCCATGCTCTCTATGCTTTATGGATATACAGGACCTGCTCGGGAGCAAGCACGAGCAAGTGCCCCCAGAGCAAGCAGCTTGCTGTGGGGACACCTGGCAGGGGGGAGGGGACTAGGAGTGTCTGCCGGGGATCGGGGCCTGCTCTCTGCAATGGTTTTGTAAGTGAGTGTAACTTGTTTGTTATTTTAATTAAAAAAAAAACTAAAAAAAAAAAACAAAGCTTTACAGCCACTTTAAAATAGTCAATGTTGATTGAGAGGGTAAAGTTCCACTTAAGGATCATCATCATTTCCTGTAAAATAATTTTGAAATTTGAATCTAAATGGGGGCTTTGAATTAAAGGGGGAAGTATGGTGTTCTGCACTCCTGTGATCCCTTTTCAGCCGACAGCGAGCTAAAGTCTCCTGTCAGCTAACATCATTGAGGCAGTCCAGGCTCTGGAGAGATTCACCCAGATGCCTGGAATGGCAGCTGGCTTAGACTCTCAGCATGCTGCTAAGGGCCTGAGCCAACTCCTCCCACCCTCTCCACAGCCCAGTGCTCCAGTGAGTGCTGGAGGGCAGAGAGCAGGTGACTGACCCCACTCTCTGCTCACTGAAGACGGAGAACCAAGCAATCAGTGGTCTTTGGTCACTCAGTTCTTGATCTTAGAGTCGGTGGGGGTCAGATGCAGCATCAGACCATTTTACATTCTCAAACTTCTCTTTTAATAGCATTTCTTCATAATCAAACACTTAAACCTGACTTTCTAAATTAAGTAATAGTAATTAATTTACATAAATTTGCAGTTTTTGTGTATAGCTAACTAAATTTGCTACTACACATGCTGGCTAATATAGCACTTTTTCTGACAAGACATGGGGCATATTTTTGAAGCAATGAATGTGACTTTCACCAAACATTGACTGATAGTCAATTATATCTGTCATTTAAAACATACACACATGCAAGTTTCACATCCAGAAAATGTTTGGTGAATGTCAGATTCACTGCTTTCACCTCGTGTTTGCATATTTGTAGTACTTAGCATCCTAGTTGCTCTTCTTCACATAGACAAAAGCAGGTTTCAATTTCAAGACATTAAACAAGTGTATTATTTGAACTTGAAACTAGCCGCAGTCTGAATTAAAGTACTTGGCAGCTATGTATCGGTAGCTTTTCCTCTGATTAAGTGCTTGGAAGAAATAATAAAAATTGGCTAGTTGGAAAGAAGCCTAAAAGCATTTTGAAAATTGAAATTGAAATACCCGTCGTGACCAATCAGTGTCAACTCTAGCTAAGTGTATTAAGCCATTTAACAGACCTCAGTTTGTTCAGTATGAAGTAAGAATGTCAGTGTTCACAAAACCAAATGTGCTGAACATTGTACCGACATATAACACCTGTTTATGCTTTCATAGGACACTAAAATATTTACTCTAAAATCACTAAGTTCTGGGTTGTACTTAAAGTGTATGTTCAGCAACAAGTATGGACACAAAGTGACCTCTGTCTGGTTTTTGCTGCTATCCACAGCTCCAGTAGAGAGATTTCTTTAAAGGATATTTTCATCTTTTCTTGAAAAATGAAAAGTCAAACTAACCCTAAAAAGCCAGTCTACCCCTCTGGACATAGCGTCAGTGATACCCTGTGCTGCCTATGTAGAGATCTGTGCAAAGCTATACACAGCCACGGAAAAGGTATCCATCATATTCCTGGCAATGGCAAGTGCTCACTTGTCAGCACAGCTGTGTAACCATGCTGACCTATGAGAAGCACATGTGACGCCTATTCTTCTGGTAAGGTGTTCCAGAAGAAAGAAGCCCTTCTCATTGGTCAGCACAGTCATGCAACCTTGACTTCTCTTTTTCATGGACACATTATTGAACAAAGAATCCTCAGATGTGCTTCTCATTGGTCAGTGAGGTCACATGGCTGTGCTGAGCCATATGTGCTTGCCATTGTGAGCTACTGTCAGCCAAACAGAAAGTGAAGGAAAATATGTCTAGCACAGCCCCAAATAGCAGTAAAAGTCAACAGGGGTTTTAATTCTTCCCAATTCTATTCATACCTAGAAAAAAAAGTGTTTGGCTCGACATTCAGTACATTTCAATGTGGAACTATAGTCAAAGGTCACCAAGTAATAAAACCGAACATAGAACAGCCAACTTATGTCTGCATTGCAACCAGGTCCTGTGAATTTAACACATGCTTTACCGCTGCTTTAGCCTAAAGAGCAAGTCTACATTTCTTGAATTTTCAGTCATGTCTCTGTGAGGCCTCAGTCCCATTGACACGCGTCTTGATTTTTTGTACTGCAAGAACACCGCCTATCCCCAATCCATGGCCTAAAACATAAGATGTACAAACACAAAATCAACACAAAATCAAAAGAGGATTTGTTATAGCTAGAGCAGAGAAAGGCAAATTGAAACTCTCGGATTAATTGTGATTTCTCTATTTAATGACACAGAGAGTCTCCACCTCCCACAGTTTTCTCTTAGCAGCTCCTGCCATTGTTACTTCCATCCTTCAGGAGTTTGAAGACTCATCATTAGATACAGGAGTTCTCAGAATCAAAAACTCTCTGTACAGCTGCACCCCTCCATTGTATGTCACCACCAATTAAAGATAATGAATCAGTAGTGATCTTGTCTTCTGAAATATGGATTGTTTAAAATGTGATTCAAGAAAGCCTTTTAGAGAAGCTTCAAAAAGAGAATATGTATTGTTTTCACCATGTACAAGTACAGAGACTGTCCTTTTTTTTTTTTTTTTTTTTTTTTTTCCTTTTTTTTTCAGTGTTATGTAACATAATTTCAGGTTGTCCCTGTGATTTATAATAGACTCGTATCATCAAATTTGAAATCTCATTTCCTTTCCCCTCAATTACAGGCTCTTGAGATCTGTCTTCAGAGAAATTTTGTTGAAGAGACGGTGTTTTTGTTTAAGTAAGTACATTCACGTGTTTGGCTTAATATGAACAAGATTTATAAGAATAAAGTATGTGAGGAGTTTTGCATATAAGGGATTAGCAGGTATTTATTTAAACAGATTTATAGCGAAGAAGAATACTTGTGCACATAGAGCAATAAATCTTCTATGGTAATAGTGAGCAGCTAATAAAGCTGACAGTGCCTTCATATTTAACAAAAAATATATTCAATACATGGACAGTGCAGCTGTAAGTTAAGCTGTAAATTCCCTTAGGAATGGAAGAAAAAAAGATTACTTTTATTTGGACGGACACGTTATTCTATGATTTTGAATACTACAGAACTCATAGCTGTACACAGTTTCTCAAGTTTTATATAAAGGGTAGTGAAAAATGAAGTAAATTATTTGCAAATATTTTGGGCACCCTTCTTGGCCCCCTAAGCAGCCATGACAACCCCTATCACTGGTATAGCTGTCCAAACACTGCACAACACAGTACACAACCCCAGAGTGAGTGCTTCATTAACCAATCGGTGCTTGCTGTTGCAAGCATTATGACAGACAAAGTGACAATGATGACCAATGAGCTCTCTGGCAGTGACCCATCTCATGCCTGTGCATGAGCAAAGGATCCGGTGCATGCACAGACATGTTACGGGGGTCTCTGTTAGGCCTCGCAGACCATGAGAGACTCGCAGTGACCTATGCTACGCTAGGTTTCCATTAAAGATAGTGGTGTGAGAAAAGGGCAGTGAAGTGGGAACTTTGGCTTCATGCAAGACAACAATGAAGTTGTTCCTTTTTAAATCAAACCAGCAAGATGTATCCATAGCTTGAGGGATATGTGTAAAGTAGATAGAGGTTGCACACCTTAAATTCTGCTCCCCCCCCCCTTTTTTTTTTCTTTATTTCCTTTTTTTTTCTATATGTTCACTAAATTTCCTGATAGCTATTGTTTCTGTGAGACCTCCCCTTCCTCTAACTTTGAAGGAGGGTCATGGGGGTCCACTGAGCCATGCAGGCTGTAGCTAATCATCAGATATGACCTGCTTTGAAAGTAAGTGTGTGACTGTAACATTGCAGTTCTTGGTATCCTTAAGTCCCATATGGGACCTAGCCTTGTTATTTCATCGAATAATTGATGGTTATTCCAGATTGTTTGTTGTTTCCTGCAACCTATTTGTAACCATTATGATATGTCATGGTTTATCAAGAAATGGATGCTAAACTTGTTTGTACTTCTCTGTAAAAATTTTTCTTTTGACAAAACCAATAAAAATTATTGGAAAAGAAAGATGTATCCATAGACACTTCCTTTCCTAGGGTGGCAACTATTCCCTTACCTGCACACTTCTGGGTTGCACTACAAGAAGCCATGCCAATGTCCATTGCGCTGGCTCATTCTTCTGTAGTCACCCATCAAAACTGGGATGTTAAGCCACTGCTGATGTGTGCACATATTCACAGAGAGCTCAAACAAAAAGTGCACAGAATTTAAGCAGCACAGGGAGGCAACGTATGTACAAAGTCAGGAGAAATCATTGTTATTATTATACAGGATTTATATAGCGCCAACAGTTTGCTCAGCGCTTTACAATATCTTTTTAATAAAAAGATAATGCTATCCTGGTTTACTCACAGTGCTCTACAAAACTTTGTATTCTTTTTTGCAAGTTTAGTTTGTGATTGCTAGAAGCCAGATATCTGTTTCAGTTTCAGCTTAGATGTTCTGTAACTCAAATGCTTTTCTTTCAGATCACATCAGATGTACCTTGGTTTTCTATTTAGCTGACTTGTGTATGACCAACTGTTGCACTTTATATAGCTATTGTGATCATTTTCACACAAAATTTGTGTTTTATAGGCAGAATGGGGAACAGTCGCAGGGCCTTGCAGATGATTATGGAGGAACTACATGATGTGGATAAAGCTATTGAATTTGCAAAAGAACAGGATGACGCTGAGTTGTGGGAGGACCTTATTCTGTACTCTATTGATAAACCACGTAAGAGCAGCGAACAATACATGTGGCTTCCTGCAGTGTGCTCTTCCATTAGGACAGTCAAGGGCATCTCTAACTAAACATAGTGCATCTGCAGGAATGTAATACCTAATTTGGGCCACTTCCAGCTTTACTCAGGCCAGTGAGAAGTGCTGCATTGTCATTTTACTTTAGACATGTCCTGTTAGTAATAAATAACCTGACAGTAATTTCATGAATCATTCCTATGGCTGCTTTATGCAATATTCTATGATATCATAATCACTAGGTTTCCTCACACTTTGCTGAATACATGAAATGAAGTCCAATGATATTTCAAATAGACTATATGTGTTTGTAAGAATCAAAGGTCATTTTTAGTGATGTATACACTGATTATATGAGCTTAATCACACTACAGTGCCTGTGCAGTACAGTCTGTTCCCCTGTAGAATGCATTTATCATACCCTTATTTTAAAGCCACAATATTGGAGTGTGTATATTTTACCAAGAGCCCAGATTTCCTTTATGTCCATTCAGGTTGCTAGTGTTTGCAAATTATTAATATAAATGTTTACAAGGATACATGAAAATTGCATCTCTGCTTTTGATACCTCCCAACAGTAACATAGAGTCTTGCCATGTATTTCATCAAAATGATCAAAACAATCTTGTTCCTGTCAACAACATCATGTTCCCATTTTTTCCTTGACTGCAACAGTGCTTACCAACCAAGCCTTGCCAGACGCTGATTGCTGTAATGCTCATAATGCTGCTATGAGTTTGGTTGGGTTTAGAAATACTTACAAACTTACAAAAGAAGCATCTCTTTTGTGCTGTCCTGTTAGAGTGGAAGATAAGTCTAATGTTAACTATTCTTTAAAATATTCCCTCTCCCTTCCTTCTACTCATCCTGCATACCTTGTATATAACAATTGTGTTAACTTACCTGTTTAAACAGGTTTGGTCTGGTCACATGATCCAGCATCTTCAGCTTCCCTGATGCAAGGGAGAGGAGAGAGTGCCGACAGCAGTTGGGCCATGGGAGCCAATGGGTGACATCACAACACCGGGAAGCCAGTGTTGAGGGCTCCCTTACATAGGGGAAGTGGAGCTGTAGGATCAAGTGATCAGAACTGAAAAAAACAGGTAAGTACACAGATATTTGTTATACAGGATCGGTAGAAGGAGAGGGAGGGAACATTTTTAAGAACAGTTAGTATTAGCCTTTACTACCACTTTACGTTTGTTGCAGCAGATCAAAAAAGGTTCAGTGGATGATGTACACTACAGGGATTAAAGTGGTTGTAAAGGCTGAAGGTTTTTTTAAATTTGTGCATTCTAAGCATAAAGGTAAAAAAGCCTTCACTATGCAGCTCTCCCCCCAGTCCCCAAATACTTACCTGAATCTGATCACGATCCAGCGATGTGCACGAGATCAGCTGCTGTCCCGGCTCTCTCATTGTCATTGGCTCCCGCTACTGTCAATCACAGCCAGTGAGAAGAGCTTGGGGGTGGGGAAAAGCCCTGCTGTCTGTGTCTATGGACACAGCCAGCAGAGATCAGGAGTGAGCCTGCATGAGTACTGCCCTAGCAAGCAGCTTGCTGGGGAAGGTATTTAAAGGGGAGAGGAACCATGAGCATCAGCGGGGGACCTGAGAATATTTGCAAAACCAAAACCATTACACAGAGCAGTTAAGTAAAACATGTTTGGGTTTTTTTTTTTGTTTTTTTAATTGAGTCTTTATCATCATTTTAAAGGGAATGGTTGGGAGAACATTTGGGCTTTTGGTAGAATACAGCTAAAAAAAACAAAAAACTAATGTCCATGAGACAGTCTCACCACTGACATACATTCACACAAAATACCTTCTTTTGCTACAATAGCATTCATAACTGGATTACTTAATAACATCGGGACCCATGTTGATCCAATCTTACTGATTCACCGCATCAAAGAAGGAATGGAGATTCCAAATTTGAGAGACTCGCTTGTCAAAATCCTGCAAGACTACAACCTCCAGGTGAGTACCAGTATGTTCACATAATGGATCATCCAGTTCACGCAATGGAAAATGTTTTATGAGATTTAATATTATGAATTCCCTTAGAATCAGATGCTTATGAATTAAAATTACATATTATTGTTAGAGTTCGTACAGTAAATGGTGACATCACAACTTCCAACCATACAGGAAATCAATTATTACCAAATGATGCTTCCAAACTACAATTGAAGCAATTGAATTGATTTAGATGAAAAATTACTACAGTACACAGCAAGATAATAAAATACAGACCCATAACCCTTTAAACTATAAAAATGTGTTCATATTTTCAGCTAATTTTTTTTATGGTTTTCAGGCCCGGCATCTAAGTGCTGGGAAGCTGAATGATATTTGACCTACCTAAAGATACCTAAGTTGCTAGTGTTTGGCTATGAGTAATTTATATCCCATCATACTGTGAGCTGATTAGGTCTAAAATGGCTTCCTCTTCTATGATAACCAGTCACATCACATACAGCACTTTCACATGCTGTATCACAGTTAGGAATATACAGTGCTCAATATAAATGAGTACACCCCTTTTGAAAAGTAAGATTTTCATCAATATCTCAATGAACACTAAGAGCAATTTCCAAAATTTTGACAAAATGGAATTTCATAGATCATTTGTTTAGCTCATTACATGAAAGTAAGGTTAATAATATAATTTAGATTACAGAATCGTCAGTTTTACTCAAATTAGTTGATGCAAAAATGAATACACCCCACAACAAAAACTACTCCATCTAGTATTTTGTATGACCTCCATGATTTGTAAGGACAGCACCAAGTCTTCTAGGCATGGAATGAACAGCTATCTTTTTCCACTTTTCAAGAATGACCACTTTTAGAGCCTGAATGCTGGATGGAGAGTGATGCTCAACTTGTCTCTTTAGAATTCCCCATAGGTGTTCGATTGGGTTCAGATCAGGAGACATACTTGGCCACTGAATCACTTTCACCCTGTTCTTCAGAAATGCAACAGTGGCCTTAGATGTGTGTTTTGGATCATTGTCATGTTGGAAAAGTGCACGACGACCAAGGGCACAGAGTGATGGAAGCATCTTCTCTTTCAATATAGAGCAGTACATCTGTGAATTCATGATACCATCAATAAAATGCAGCTCTCTGACACCAGCAGCACTCATGCCACCCAACAGAAGGAAGCTGCCACCACCAGGTTTCACTGTAGGCACCATGTATTTTTCTTTGTGACACCATGCAATTATGAAGCCATCAGTTCCAAAAATATTTATCTTGGTCTCAACACTCCAGAGTACAGAGTCCCAGTAGTTTTCTTTTTCGGCATGGGCCCTGGTGGGCTTTTTTGTGCATGGGTTTTAGGAGAGGCTTCTTTCATGGACAACACCCATGCTTGCCATTCCTATGCCGTGTACACCGTATTGGGTCCCGGGAAATAATCACCCCAGTTTGGCTTTCTACTTCTTTAGCTAACTGCTGTAAACTTGCATGGCGATTTGCTTCAACCCTTCTCATCAGGAGACTGATGAATCAAGTCTATGTGAAATGATTGCAGTTCCATCTTTGTTACATTTTTGTATCACTTTTGCTACAGTATTCTGACTGATAAGTAAAGCTTTGCTGATCTTTTTGTAGCCTTCACCTTTTTTGTGTAAAGAAATGATTTTCTCTCTCCCAGGTCTCAGGCCTTGATTTTCCTATTTCTCAGGCCTTGTGACATTTCTCTTCCATGTGGTACCATTGCTGACAGCATGAAATGGGAAGGGGTTTTCTTTGATAAGTAACGCCCTTTTACAGTCAACTGTCTGCTGGACACCTGTTTAATGAATAATCAGATTCACCTGTAGTTGAATTCTTGTTAATAGGATTCTGTTGTCTAAAATTTAGCTTTGCTCCTAAGACTTTCTTTGGGGTGTATTCATTTTTGCAACAAGGTCTTGAATGAATTTGTTAGGAAAAATACTTTTTTTTTCTGTGTGCAAATTAACATATCTTGTTTGCAATCAATGGCCCTCATTTGTAGGAGTATTTTGTAATATAGTGTCCCATAGAAAATGTTGATTCTGAAAGGAAAGTACAGGTTTCTGACAAATCTGTTGGGGTGTACTCATTTATGCTGAGCACTGTATTAACAGACAAGTAACTCACACACTTTCAGAGAGGTACACACTACTTTTACATTCCTCTTCAATTTTTGAACTAGACTACCTTAAAAAATGAGAAAGATAACTGGAGCGTATTTTCTCCTCACATCAAACACGCAAAATCCTCCAACTGTCTCACACATCTTCCATTAGTACCCAAGAATCTTGCTTTAAATCAATGACCCAATGGTTTAGACTCCCCACAGAATTATAAAAGATCTACTCATTTACATCAAATATTTGAGAGGTTGCAGCCAAAAGGGTAGTTGGATATTTGGTGGGAATGTCTCACACTTGCCCAGATATGGACTGATGTAAAAAAATATGTATCTCAAATCCTGGAAAATTCCTTTCCTAATGACTCTTCATACTTAATGACATATCCCGGTCCATGAAATTCTATAAAGTATAATACCACATGTATTATTATGGGACCAGCATATATACAAGGACTGCTATATTGTTTTTTTTTATATACTACGTTTTTTTATATTATACTCATATATTTTACCTATACACTGCATTTTAGCTTTGTACATAGAAAATTTTTTCCATGTAGCTACAATTTTTTTGCAGTATATATCATCTACGGAGCCATCTCTTTTCATTCTATAGGTACCAGTAGGATGTACCTATTGCCTTTGCACCACAACAAAATAGCAAAGGTCACATGGTATTTCATCATACCCCTTGCTACAATAATATGGCGATGGTCACATGTTTTTCTTTATTTTTTTATTATCTGCCTGTTTTTTTAACAAACACGCACTTTTAGCATTGATTTTATATTCATGGCATTTATTCTTATCCATCCGAACATTTCATATCTGGTTACCATTTGCTTCGGCATGTCAGTCCTCGTCTATGTTGCTGTTCCTCCGGTCTTCTTCAAAATGGTGCCCGGCTGCTTGCACGCTCAGGGCTATATAAATACCTGTCAATGGCGTCAGTGAGTAGGTGGATCCCTTTGAAAATGTGCATGCGCACAAAACGCATCAGGGAGGAGCTTGCGTACTGACGTTTCATGCCGCCGTGTCCGTATGATGGTCCGGCGGCCATCTTTGTGAGTGGTTTTATTCTGATTACTCCACGTGGATATTTTAACTCTTACAGTAAAGTACTACACTATCAGCCGTTCTTTCTCTGGGCTCTTTTTATGAGCTGGCTCTTCAGGATCCCTGCTTGTTCCACCTTGATGATTGAGTGCTGTGCTGAGGATACCCCTTCATTCTGGTACATCTTAGCTTCCATGGTTCTGTGTGTGATGGAGACATAGCCTGACCTACGTGTGAAGGAGTGTGCCATTTTGCTGTAAATGCGCATTTTATATGCGCTTCTGGTGAGTGCATATAAAGGAGTCACTCTCACAGATTCACATATCACTGGAAGTCACCAATTTCTTACGGATTTATTCAGTATTGGACTTTATCATATATTGTTTTTTATGTACTCATTTCACTACAGTCACCAATTTTATCATCACTATTTCACTGAATTTTTAGTGTCACACTGTATTTACTTTATTGCATTATAGCACCATAGCGTGACTGTTGTGTGTGTGTGTATGTATATGTGTGTATATATATATATATATATATATATATATATATATATACATACATATGACCAGAGCGCCTCACTGTGATTATATTAAGTATTGCTGCCTATTTCATTTTTCATGTTATTCAGATATATGTTCACTATATGCATTTCCATTTAAGTTTGATAATTTTACGTGCTAGCTCATACTATAAGCACTGCACCTTTTTTACATTAGTTATTACTGAGGATACAAAGGGCGGTCCTCTAGTGCTAGCAGGTTACGTTTTTCTCTCTTTTTCCTGAGCACTCACTGACATCTTCTAATTTTAAACGAACAAACAATGGTTTTGCACAGAGCAGCCCCAATTCTCCTCTTCTTGGGACCCCCACCAGAGCTGCTTAGTGCCCCGATAGCAAACCGCTTGCTATGGGGACACTCATGCTCTCCCAAGTCAGCTATGTTTGTCCATAAGACACATGAGCACAGCATGATACCCCCTCTCCCTCCTTACAGGCTGCGATTGTGTTTGAGGGAGAGAGCTGGATTGGGATCAGGCTCGGGTGAGTATATAAAGTGGTTGGGGCTGCACTCAGAAAGTTTTTTGGGTTTTTTTTACTTTAGCCAATTCTAGTGCGGACACTTTTACCCCCTTCTAGTCCAGGCCAATTTTCATCTTTCAGCACTATCACAATTTGAGTGACAATTACTTCTCAATTACTTGACCTTTCTTGTGGTGGTATTTGGTCACCACTGGGTTTTTTTTTTCTATATAAATGGAAAAAATGCCACAAATTAAAAAAAAAATTATTTTCTTGCTTTGTTTTTGTTATAAAATTTTGTAAATAGATAATTGTTTTCAGAAATTTAGGTCAAAATGTATTCTGCTATATTTTTGGGGTAAAAATAACCCAAAGCAGTGTATTATTTAGTCTGTGTGAAAGCTATAGAGTCTATAAACTATGGGATATATATATATGAATATTGATCAGTTAAGATCCTAAAATGCCGGATGCTGGTATGGGTACGACGATGATCAGGACATTAGCAGGAGGTATGGCGGTGATCAGGACGCTAGTATGGCAGTAGCCAGGATGCTGTTATGGGGTATGAGGGTGATCAGGATGCTGGTTTGGGGTATGGCTGTGATCAGGATGCTGGTTTGGGGTATGGTGGTGATCAAAACGCTGGTAAGGGTTATGGCAGTGATCAGAACGCTGGTATGGTGGTGATCAGGGTGATAGTATGTGGTATGGCGGCAATCAGGGCACTGGTATGGGGTATGACGGCAATCAGGGCACTAAAATGGG